GTCATTTCAGAGCCTCAGGTCTTTGCCAAGAAAAGACCAGAGCAAAATGACTCTGCTTTTCTCGTTAAACTGGGGCTCTTGCTTGGTCAGAAACTTGTCGGAAAAAATAAATTAGTAGCTTACACACCTTGAAGGGAAAGAAAGGCCTACTGTTAAGTAAAGCTACAGAGAAGATTAAGTTTTTATTTACTCTTTCCTACCATCTTATCTCCTTTGGCAACTGTGTGTTAATTCGGCTCTAACAACAGTGGGTCAGGAGGGCAGCGAGGGTATTTGTTTCAATCGTCTTAGCTCCCTGAGCCCTACACTAATGCTTCCAGAGAACATTGCTATTGTGATTCAAATTTATAAACATGCTGTTCCATCTCATTATTATATTAAATGTTCATGTTTTCTACTTGTTAGCCTGCTTTCTGATGGAAAAAGGTTTCTCTTGCTTGTGGCTTGGCACAGTGCAGCTGTGAAGTGCTGGCTTTCAGGCAGCCGACTTTGAATACCTTACATAATACAAAGCCCACTGAGTAAAGAATTACTCATTGTTTTAAAAATACACTCTTTTTTTTTTTTTTTTTTAAGTCTCTGCATTCAGAAAAAAACAACCCTTATCTAAACATGCAGAGGTTAGCAATGTCAGCTCACATTTATTTAAAAAAAAATTGGCTGAATAAATCTATATAAACAGTTTTATGAAAGTGTTGCATAATACACCGGCATATTCCCCCTCTTTTCCAGAGGGAAATTACTGTATTAATGCTCACACTAAGAACAGCATGGTTCTAATACTATGGATAGAATTGTATTTATGAGTCTCATATCATTATGTACTTCAGGTATGGATATTTACAGCATGCCTATGCTTCAATCTATATTGGAAATTAGTAGGCTTCCTATATTGGAAATTAGTAGGCTTTAGTTAACTTATACAATTGCATACATTGTGGAACAGCATTCAGTGTGATACACTGACATTGTGCAAAACACTTAGATACAGTAGTAAAATCAAATACATGACAAATTTAAGAAAAACTAAAAGAAATGTTAATTTACAATAACCACTTAAAACTACCATTCTAAAACCACCCTAACTGTAAAAAATATATAATTTGTATATAATTTAAGCACAGCCGGAATAAGATGCATGGAAGAATTTAAAAAAATATATATACCACTAGAATACAAAGGTAGGATACACCAAATTGTTATATGGYAACATCTCTAAGTCTGCATCACAAAAGTGCAAGTGGCTCCTCCTGTGACTGGATAATGYCCCAGTAAAAATCCACATTCATTTCCACGTAAGGACTGACCAGATGCCTGCAGCTTTTCTTTTAGCAAGAGTCTTGTAGGAACTAATAGCAACACTCAGAGCCACTATCATCTTTCTGCTGCCTGACACACTGCGAGGCTCTGGGACTATCACCCCAAACACACAGCTGGCAAACCCCAAGAAGCTACGTTAGCTTACGGGGAAAGAGAAAGACAGGCTTTCATTTACCCTGTACATTTATCACATTCTTTGCARTGACAATTTTGATTGCCATTAAAATACCACATATATCCATAAAGGAGGTCTTCTAATCTATGCAGAAGAAACAAAAAGATATTATTGATACTGCAAAATATTTTCACCTGCCTTGCATCCCTGGAAAAGTCAATAAATGTGTGCAGTAGTAGTAGATCAAAAGGGTTAGAAGGGCTGTGGAGAAAACAGCAATGAATCCAAAAGAAGCAACAAAATCATAAGCAGCAGGTTGGCTGAGAATTATTCAGAGAGGAAAATATAATGGAAAAGAAACAAGAGCTTGGGAAGTGATCTAAYTGCAAAGCCTGAACAACCGAAAGAGAAAACATGACGCATCAGACACAAAGACAGTGATCGGTATCAGCCAGCRCATCCAAGCCACCATTCCACGATGGCACTACCAATTTGTCAGCCCTTATTTAGAAGCAACCAAGGAAAAACTATTAGAGCTAACAGCAGCGTAACAATAAATAAAAAGCAAAAATATATAAACTAACCAAAAAATCTTAGCAACTGCATTCTTGAAGAAATTTATGAAGAATAAAACAGTAGCGAAAGCAATGAAACTACGTATTTGAACTAGGATACAGAAATTATCCTAGAGTGTTAAAATGGTTGGGGTCGATCTCTGAATTTTTTCACTTGTGCCATAATCTACACTGAGACAAATTATCTCCTTGAAGACATAGCCAGTTTTTAAAGGAGAAAACTAGRATGCTGGTAGTCATAGTAGTCAGGACTTCTTTTTCCTCCCTGCTATCCCTAAAAAACTCATAGAAGCTTCCAGACCAAATCCCTCCAGAGAACAAGTTTATGTAATTACAGAATTAACAGACTAAAGATTTCAGTAACAGACTGAAACATGTTTATAAGGTTAACAGATTATGGATTTCAGTAACTGTGTTGGTTTCAGTGAATACCAGGTGACTCTCAAACTCAGGAGGAAGCACGAAAAGATAAAATTGTATTTCTTTAGCTATAAGGACAGCTTACRAAAATATTTTAACAAGCTAAGGATAGATAAAAGGTGGCATTAAATGTGCCTACAAACAAACAAAAGGATGTTCATGAACTTGGTTGTTACTATTGAAAATAGAATAAACTTCTTGATAACACTGGGTAAGAGAATATATGCCATAGCTCCCGAGTTTGCTCATCCTTATATATGCACCTGCACTACTATTCTGCACTACAAAAAAAAAGATTTAAAAATTTGAGACTAGCAACATAATAAAGGTATTTGAATAAATAACRTAAGAGATTAAACTTGGAAAAGAAAGGTTACAAAATGATATGACTGCAGACAACACCATCATTTCTCATGGCATTAATCTGTTCTTACCTAGTATTCGAAACTRCTACCGTAACAATATTCATACTATTCTATGTAGTGATAAAAGAGGAAACTCACAAAAGACTATGAATGCTTAATAAAATTAACTCATCAATACCGAATCTAAGTAGAGATGGAATCTGGCCCTGTTCCTCAATGTTTTCATGAACACCTGCATCTGAACCAACTCAGATTTCTGGTTCTTCTGCATGAAAATAATTAGACAATATGTGTCCCTCTTTCATAGATAAAGTATTCACAGCCACTAAACATGAATCTGTTTTCTCACTCTAACACAAGCAGCATGAGTCAGTTCCTTTCCTCATGCCCAAAACAGTCTGTACAGAGGAGGACAATATTCCTTGATCGCTCTTTTCTGATCCTCTCCTATTTAATTCTCTGTTGCTTGAGGAATGGCAGACCTGATGAACAGATCAGGTTTATCTGGAATCCAGAGCAGAAATGTACTACCATAACCTATGAACCATGCCGGTCTGCTCCATTACACAAAAGACCCAACATAGAAAAAAAGAAATAATATAAATTTGTTCCCAGTATATTCCATGTTACTCCAGTGATCTGGTGAATTGCTGCAGCAGACACTGCAATTAACTTATTCTTCTTATTTAATTAGATTGTTACACTAGTTAGTGCTTTCAAATTCTAGTTTTTAGTTATTAGGAAAATAGCTAATTTGGTACTAGACTAAATGGCTGRTAGGTCTATTGTATGAAAAAGCATATAGAGAATATCACAAGTCAAGGACTTACAAAAATATACCACAGCCGRTGGCTCTGATGACACTCTAACACTAAGAGAACTTAAACTTTCTTATGTAATTGGAAAGACTTTTGGTAAATACACATTTAGTCTCACAAAATTAGCTGTAGATTTTCTAAGTGAATAGCTCTGATTGCCTAAAAGAAAAAAAAGTTTTAAAAGAATAACTTAGACAAATTAAAACTTTCAATTTTTATGTTGCTGAAGAATCATCAATTAGAAAAAGATTTTAAATTAAAGTCTTTATGAACATTGAAATGGTATTAGGTGAATAGCTCATCTACAATACTGTAACATTAACTTAATCRCTCTGCATTTGCCTTTGTTCTTCATTAAAACATGTTTCTCTCAAATTAAAAGAAAAAATCAGTGAAAAGAGCAAGATGTGAACCATGAAAATAGAATTCTCCAACTTAAAATACTATAAATAATCTGTAAAACTATAAACAGCTTTATGTAAACAACTAGCAATGATTTTTTTTTTTTTTTTGCAGTTCTTGCCACTGTCCATAGGCACATTTTGCAGAAATTTTGAACAAGCATAATTGAACCACTGGAGCTGTATGAAACTTGTGTTTCCACATACACACAAAAAACTTGTTTTTTTTGGTTTTAGATTTAGATTTCTTAGATTCTACTTTTTTTWAAAAAAGAAAAACCTTCATAAATCAGGCTGAATTATGAATTTGAAAAGTTTCCCATAACACAAACAAAATGTTCAGAATTAACTTTAAACTAACTTCATTTACTTTTTTAGTATTCAGTCCAGATTTTCCACTATGTAAAATTCATCCAAAATGGTCAATGAGAAAAATGACAAGTGCTTTATGATAACWGCTCCATTTTCATGAAGCATAATGGATACAATTTCCAAAAGCAGGCATCTTGGCAAATGCCTTTCCTGTCTCAATTCTCTGTCCCCAGGGGACAGTTTTCTGGTTCAGGATTAAGTGCATAGAAAGATGTCGCTTTAATTCTAAGCAGTTTTTCATTTCGTCAATAATATTCCGGGCTGTTATATGTTGAAGGTATGAAAACTTTTCAAATATGAGACATTTCTTTAGCAAATATTTCTTATCCAGGTGATCTGGGAGATTCATGAAAGTAAGTTGAAGTTAGGTTCCACACAGCTCTTACTGGGATATCAGCTATAGCCATCATTTTGGATTTGTTCCTAAGCAGACAGGTTGGACACAATTAACTCTACATTCTAACTCAGAAAATATCATAACAATCCTAGCTCCATTATTAACAAGAAATTAGGTTTTAAAACTCTGTGAGAAGTCAAAGTCTTCTTTGGCCCCTAGGCAAACTTAAAAATATATCCTCGTTTCCTCAAGGATATATTTATCCTCATAAATTTACCTTATTGACATCCATTCGCAACTTCTCATTGTTGGCACTGGCAGCTTTTTCTGCTGCTTTCTTTTGGCGCTGAGGTCCCCTGCCAAAGAAGATGTAGTTGACCAAAGCATACTCCAGCAGAGCCATGAACACGAAGACGAAACATCCCATAAGGTACATGTCGATGGCTTTCACATATGGAATTTTGGGAAGAGTCTCTCGAAGATGGGTATTAATGGTTGTCATCGTGAGCACAGTTGTGATTCCTGGGAAAAGAGCRACAATTCTATTGATTGAATTCATGTTCATTTTCTAATGTTCAGCTTGCAAAATTGAAATGCTACCCCATAAAAAGTTCAAGGAGATAGGGTTTTTTTTTCCCCCACCAGAACAAAAATACATCTTTCCATATCTCTTTCCACGCTCCTTGTCTTTCTGGAGGGCAAAAAATTACACTYACAATAGTTTGGGCTCATAGAGACAGAAATTGCATCTTTCAATTATATTTTCTAACTCATTACCTGCAACCTTCTCTAAGCATACGAGACCTGAGTAGCTTCCTTTCCTCCAACACTCTTATACTGTCTTCGGACTTAAAAGGAAACACTGCATAGAAAGTCTAGTCGAAGTTAAGTCATTATTATAAAAAGCTGAAATGTAAAATTCTAACTATTTTTTGGCGATTTACCCATTTTATCCATAATAAAGATGTACTGCCAGGAATCAAATCTGACTTACACAGTTTGGCAAGAGATACTTATATTTATTTTTGTAACATGCTTAGATTCTCTGACGAGGGGCAGAGTATAAGCAAACGCACATGGGAATAGCAATGAAATATAAAGTACTCCTCTAGAGATTAATTAGGGAAATGGTTTGCTTTTAGATTCTAAGACAACAGAATGGAAAGAAAAAGTTCTCCTATATATCTTAGGAGAAATTAGCTATACAACCCCAGTAAAACTTTTTTTGATTCATACCTGAAAGGAAAAGTAATTTATATTCCATAATACAGTGCTGAATGTGTATTCTGGGCTGCTCTGAGCAAAAGCAAAGTAAACGCATTCTTTTGAGATGAAGAACAAGCAATGAAACAACAACAGAAAACGCTGAGACAATTAGGCTAATTCTGGTTACAATGATTATACAGTTAGCTAATTCAGACATGAAATCACTTTAATTTTTATTTAAATTGTGATGATTTAAATGCTGATTCAAATAGTACAAAGCTTAACAAGCTAGACATAAAAAGACCTAACAGATTTATTTTTCAAATCATGCACTAACCACTAAGCCACAAGCAAGAAAAAGCATTCAGCTAATGCACACTGCTTGAGATGTGTAAAAATGCCTACCTAAAGCAACTCTTGCAGCTGAAGCATCATAATTAATCCAGAAGGAAACCCAGGACAGGATAGTGATCAGAATAGAAGGCATGTAGGTCTGCAGAATGAAGTAACCAATGTTTCTCTTAAGTTTAAAGCTGAGAGACAGCCTTGGGTAGGCACCTAAAAGAGAAAATTTGGTATGGCCATAATTTACTTGTATGAAGCCTGAAAACATTTTCTTGTCATTTCAGTTTTATTGTTTCATGCTGCACAGAGGAAATAGAGTTGAAAGATCCAGGATAATCAGCCACAGAATTTCTAATAAGAACTAGGATTAAATGGTCTTTTATTCTAAGGGTACAAGGTTGCTGCTAGGGCAACATCTGCTGATAATCATAATACTCCACAATCAACAGCCAAAATATATTTCAGAGCATCAAGGCACGCAGAGCTTCTTCTCTTACTAGCTGTGGTTAGAACTCCTTCGCTAGCCTCCTCTTCAGGCAATGCAACATCTCCCTCTCAGCACTTGACAGGAGAAATATTTTTGAGTACCAGACACTCATAGAACAGGTGCCTAGAGCTGATTCAAGTCCCATTTCTGACTTTTTTTTTCCCCTGTCTTTTCTGTTTTYGTTATGAATTTGGGCTGCACAATGCTATTACATTCCCTCCTCCAAAGATAATTTCTATCTACAGCTAAAAAGTAMGTATGGGGATCTTTTAAGTTCTGAATTCTTTTGTGAAACTTAGATTCTAGTGGCTTTATAGAGCAAGCAAAGAACATCAGGTAGCAACAGCCCAACTCTTATCTCTTGTATCATTCACTGTGTCACTAAAATTTTCTAGCTAGCTGCTTTTTTTCTTTTTTTTTTCTTTTTCTTTTTTTTTTTTTTCCCTTAAGGAAGAAATCTAACCTTATTTTCCACTCCTCACACAGCACCTTCTCAGTTTTCAAAATGTCATWTGCTTGCTAGCAAGGCAATTACAAACCCGGTTCAACCAGGATTTGATATCTTCTCTAGTGAAGGCAAAACAATTAACCTGAGACCGCCACAGCTGGGCACAAAGAACAACTGGAAGTACTGAAGGAAGGATTTCATACAGGTTGGATTATTTTCTTGCTGGAATTAGGACACTGAAGTGCACAGSTGGTTCAATTAGTTTTCAGAGGAAAACAGAAAATGTAATCTATTTGAATGAGCCTTAACATGACAGACTATTGTATCCTGGTCATATGTTAATGAGTGATGCCTTATATACCGTGAAAGCTTTAATAACAATGACGCCTCCTAAAATTCACACCTGCTCTAATTTATTCCTGTTTCTGAAATTTTTGCTCAGATCCTGCATTGCCCATTGAGGATTAACCTATTTCTAAAACTCTTCCCAGTCAGTTCCCTTTTTAATGTCCCCTCCACAAACCTGTAGAGAAAACAACATTCTTGGTGATAAGCTTGTAGTCTACAATGGAGAACTGAGGCAGTTCGATCTTTGTCACTCCTGTGACTGCATTATCACCCCCACGCCAGTAAAATTCAATGTCATCTGTTGTATAACCATCTATAAAGACAGAAGTAAAGAGTTAAGATGCACATCAGGTTATGTACAATAACCAGTGAACTTAGCAGAAAACAACTTCAAMTATACTTCTAAAAATCAATAATAGATATGTATACAGAATCATGTAACTCAAATGTCATTTCACACGATGTTTTCGTATACTTATATATTCATAAAGCAAACTTTCAAAATAAAATTATGATTACCCACAAGCTTTATGTAAACAGCRGCTTTACATGCAATGTTTTGAGGTAATTACTGATCCCCCAGCTGCAGAAACCATGTGGGCTGGTGGCAATTTCTGCATCTGGGCAGTAACAGGCAGCCCTCTGAAAGAGGCAAAATCTCTGCTGTCTTGTGGCCCAGAGTAAGCAAGAGGCCAGAGTAAAGCCGTTAGTATGCAAGTTCAGTGCACAGTATCTTTGGGTATTTGCTCTTTATGTCAAGTAGTTCATAATCAGTTTATCTTTGAAAAGGACACAACTCTGGTTCAAATACCTACGATTTTATTTACAAAACTTTGCTTCTTCAAAAAGGTTTGAATGAAATAAAACACATTTGGTTAAATAGCTTTTAAAACTATAAAAAACATTTAGTGAGGCACGGATGAGAAGTATCTATAGCTCTTATTGTACAGCTAGAAAAAAAAAGTCCTTACAATGCAACAGCCATCACACAGGATAGCAAAAATACAAGTAATAATAATTTTAAGAATAGAGGCAGCACCAGATCAGAGTCCTAAAGCGTATGATTTCATATATGTGAAATAAGAATCCGGGATCTCCAACAAGCAGCCAAGCCAAGTTGAATACTTTACAGCTGAATTACAGAACTGATCAGGGGACAACAGTAATAGACTTGCTATGGAAACAGGAAATGAGATTCGTGAAGTTTGGCAGCAGGTTAAACTTTCTTTGCTGCTGAAAATAAAAAAAATAAAATAAAAAAAAAAAAAGAACAAGAAAGAACTCTAAGAGAATTACAATTCTCTACAGTCTTCTAAGGAACTTGCATGATAAAACCTGAAATATATGAGCTTGCTTTTAAAATCTAACCATATAAATAAACAAAAAGTAAATACCCGTTTAGAGCACTTGATTTCAAGTAATAATGCAAATCATACATTTTGTGATTACTTAGAATATATAAAGCTGTTGCCACAAAACATTATTTTTAATAATCAAAATATAATCCAAACGAGTGAAGAATCCAAAAATCTCTAGGCACACTGAAGTGTTCATAAAATAAATTCAACACACAGTAAATTTTAAAGCATTCTCATAGTTACATCATAACAATTTCATGACCAGTTCCAATTTGATCTATTCGTGACTCTTTGCTTCTGTTTTAAGGGCTAACAGCAAATCTGCAGCCATCTGAGGGAAGCAAATATAARAATATTTTTGTGCTTCAGAGCCATTTCATTCACAAAGGGCACATTCAGAAGAGATCATCAGAATCAAGAAATCGAGATGGAACCAGCTCTTCTTTCAAAGCTGTGACACTGCCAGCAAGACAGAGTAGAAAACAGTACAAGATTTTTACATATTTTGTGAAATATTTCTTCATTATACTCATTCTTTCCACCCCAGAGATGATTACCCCCAAAATATGACCACAAAAAAAAAAAAAAAAAAAAAAAAACAGACCTATAGACCTATATCTTCTAAACAAGTTTCAGCAGTTAAGGAAGAAAAATATTTGCAGTGCAGAACATGATACATTTGTAATACATACAAAATTTTAAGAAGAGTTTAAATTCAATTCAAGAAATAACATAACTCAGTAGTCACTGATTTGTTTCAGGTTATATATATAATATACTTCTCCCCCTCCCACTACGAGCAAAATTATCAAAGCAACAGCTAAACATTTTTTGGCCTAGTAGCTTTTCATCAAATATAACTTCCTTTCTCTGTTCAGACAGTGCCATGAACAAAATTAAAATCAGCTAAATTCCTCTAYACTGCATTTCTATGAAACAGAGATCTCATGGATATCTATCTTTTGCATCAATTGCGTATAACTTGTTCCAAGTCTAAAAATGAGAGTTCTCTAAAGGAGCCAAGATTATTGCTGTCTGTCAGCAGACTGCCTGTGCTCTGTGATCAAACAAACTTCACTGTGATTCCACAATCCTTCTTAATGCATCTTGTTACGCAAGAAAATACATCCACCCTGCATTTTAACCATTACAATCTACCAGCTTCAAAGTTGGTTTTTGAAGATCAACTTGCAGTTGAACTTTTGCTTTCCATACCCTGCARTTTTAGAGACACAAATGTTTACCACCCCAGATAGAAGTGTCTCAAAAGGTACTTACACTCCAAGATTGTTGAACATTTACCAGCAGCATGATCTATTAGAGATAATAAGAGTTTTAGCACAATGATTTCCTACGTATTAGCAAGGCAACCTTAGCTCAGCCAAGAATTGCCAGAACTGATTTTGAATGCTTCTATAACATCAGTTAAATGATTTCCAAAAAAGAGCCAAATTACACTTACCCGGGAAGTGGGAATTGTTTTGTTCTCATGAGGAAATAATGTATTTCGCTGCTTAATTATGACTTTCTCAAACTGCCTAATTACATGAGAGCCTCCCTCCTTATCTCCCTTTTCTTCAGTTAACCTTGCTCCATTTCCTCAGCAGTCTAAAGATAGCAGAAGGTACACGATGGCAGAGTGCAATACTTCAGAAGTGACCTGAAATACTGAGACGTTTCTAAGTACTGACACTATGAATGCAGGAACACTCGTCCTTTGCTGCATTCATGTGTCTAATTGACAAACAAATAGTTTCTGAACTAAGATGACATGACTGGCAAAACCTTTAACATGATTTTATCAAGTTTAATTTAGGTATTTTATCTTCATTATTTCTCGTGGTTAGTTAATACCACATTTAGGCTCCTACACTGATAATGAAATGTCTTGGTAGCTCCTCTCCTTCAATGGGCTCTGGGTGCAGATGTCTCAGGCTGCYGCCCTGCACTAGGAACACTGTTACCTACCACCTGAACCTGCCCGTAACAACAGGTTACRACCACCTGTACAACAACCTGCTGCATTTTTCCCAGCTAGTGGCCAAAAGCAGCTCTCTGATCTTGCTCTCACAAATACAGGCCCAATGACCAGGCAACGGCTTGATAAGCAGGGGAATTATGCTCAACACTGAGGTACTGGATGCTAACAAACTCTTTCTACTCTCAGAAGGATCTTGGATTTTAAATACTGTTAGGTCTGCCTCATTTGCTTTTAAAAAGCTACTTTTCTAGGTAAGTACATGGATGGAGCTCGTTAATGACAGTGTTCATAGCAAGACAGGCCCACTTAGTACAGTCTTGAAAATGGAACAAGCTTCAGTATCTGTCTGAAGCAGAAATCCCCCCCGCTGGGCAGCAGGTTCTCTGGTCATTTTTTCCTGTGGCACCAGGAACATGGGCACGTTCTGCAGATCTGGGAGACCAGGTTGGCATGATGCCTTTCACTCTTCTGGTCACAATTCCATCACCAGAAAAAGAGATTGAGGACATATCTGCTTGTCCATCATTACTTTATATCTGTCAAGTATCATTCAAGGCTTTCAGAAAAAAATAAAATAATGCAAAATGAATAAACTGGTTGGTATTGAACTGTAAGAGAAGGCATGATATATATATTAAAAAGATAAAAGAGCATCCTGTGAAAGTTTGGAAAGAGTAACAATACCTATATCACTTTCCAGACACTGTTTAGTTTTGCTGATACTATATCTCAAACCAAATCTACTGATTCCAACAGAAAGCTTGAGCTTCTAAGACCATTTAACTAAACTCTGTACAAGTAATCAAGATTAGGTTTGGAGGTCATTTAATTACTAAGCTTTATAGCTCTATTAAAACTTTTATCTTCCTTTCTGTTAAAAATAACGTGCAAAAATTAGTTCCAATAAAATTTATTTTTTTATGTAAGAAAAAAAAAAAGCTTAAAGAGCAATGCACCTGGCTGCTTTTGAACATCTGTTAGAAGATCTTTTCTGCCTGGCTGCTACCCACTGTTCAGTCCTGCACCCTCTAATCAGGCCGGCTTTCATGGGGAACTGCARGATTTRCCRTCCARCTAAACRCCCCAGACGTCTCCTCTGCTCTGAGGCTGAGCGCGCTGATTAAGCTGCTACCTGCGTTCTCAGCCTTAATACTCAGCACATAACCACGGCTACATGGCGAGCAGAGCTGAACTCCTTTGAAAATGCCGTGAAAAAACTTCAAACCACAAATGCCGAAATGGGCAGCTCCTGGCTGCTGCGCCGAGAGAGCCCAGGGCTCCCAGCCGCCGCGCCGGGGAGCCGCTCGCTGCAGCTCTGGAGCCGACAGGACTGGTTAGCGGCTCGGAAATACCTTCCGGCTCTCATTAAAATACTCCTCTTTCCTTCCAAAAAGGATGAATTACCCCATTCATTTCATAACATGCACAAGGAGATAAAGGAAATATTATAGCGATCTGCAAATGAATGCCATTGTGTACTGATAAAGTACCCAAAGATAATTGGATATAAGTCTAATATCTGCAGAACATCTGCCAGAAAAGAGAATAGGCCTATTCATGTCTCTACTGGATGTTTTACAGATATTAAATTCCAATTACCTGTGGCTATAATCAACCCAGTCTTCAGGTATTTGGGTCTTGAAATATCTCTATTTACAAGTTAAAATTATTTTAAGACTAAACAATTTTAAAGTGTAACAAGCAGTCTAGAAAGAATTGGCTGTGACCCTTGACAAGAAAAAAATGAAGAAATGGGAGATCAGTACTTCAAATTATCAAATCACATGTCAGTGAACACAGTGGACACAGAAAAGAGAATATTAAGTCCAAAATTCAAGCCATTCTGTACAAGAAAACATTTTTTCATTAAAAAATATATCAAAACACCTTCCACACCTTTATTTGATTTAGGCTGTAAAAGAATCCGGTGCTTTATTATATATTAAATTGCATGTAGCTATGCTATTGGGACAG